AAAAGTATTGAACCAGAGTTTTGAAGGGCAGGAAGGTTTAAAGAACATATAATTGTCACAAACCAGCTTCGTGACAAGGATAACGTAAAACAAATCTCCAAATTACTATAGTCTCCGGGATTCAGTATCCCTTAACTACCTCACAAGAATTTAGACGCCTTTGATTCTACGTTAAACTCAACTAGACAATTGAGAACCATTTTATTCAACAGTCTGACGGCTTATATACCCTACTACTGCAGCTAACATTCACGAGTCATCTTATAAAAATACTTGGTGAGAACATCTACTAACTAATTTTTCGCAGTCGGGCTACAATATGTCCATTCACAGAATCATTTCAGAGCACATTGCAGCACAGCATTAAATTTACTGTAACACATTTATAATTAGAGTAATTCCTATTATACGTAACTAGTTGTAATATATTATCACTATATTATATTAACCAAATTTAGATAGCTATTTCTTCACGGTACGAAGTACCGTGACAATAATATATTGCTTTAGAGATCTAGATGATGAAAATCATAATTCAAAATGTTCAAGTTATGTACGTTATCACAGTTATTCCAAATGTACAATATAAGTTAATGTAATGATTTTAGCTAATTATGCTAGTTATGTGTTACAGTTATACTATAGTTCGTTCAATCAGTAGGTAAATAAGCACAGCTAATTAATTGTAAATTCTTGCTATAAATTGTGGATCATCGTAGAAATTGTCAAAATATACTCTTATGGTTATAATTTTATTTGCAGTTATTGCACTCTTACTCTCGGTTCATAGCTGATTTATGACTCTAACTGATTTTAATAACATAATAAAATTATTAGCTCTAATAATTAAAGAAGCATTCTCTATTTATATTTTGATAAATTTTGAAATTTTTGATAGCTGTTGGTAGCAGTAGAGAAAAATAAAAGCTTATGAAATATGTACTGCATCCAAAGTCATCCAGAATTATACAGAAAACCTAAATAGTGGATCCTATATACTCATGTCCATTGACATCGGTATTGATATCTAATCAAGCCGTAGATTATGTACCACGCAAACATTAAGTACGCCAACGTGCACTAAATCATTCGTTATATATGCAAGAGGCTATCTCACAGTCATATTTAAATTTCGAATGTGATTTTGCAATATCCTGACTAAGGTCACTTAATAGGTATAACATTTAGAACGTGAAAAGTTTATCGGAGTAAACATCAGATGCGAAATATTTGTGTCATTCGTATTACGTAATTTACAGTAGTAAACAATAGCCAAAATATAAGCGTACTAACTATATTCATATACCTACCTAGTAGCTGTTCCCGTACTAAATAAATATTTAAAAACTGCTAATGCTCATTCTATACGGGTAGGTTTGAACTACTTAGCAAGTACAGTGACTAATACTGCGCCATTTATTCTCTATATAAGTCATTACAGCCTAACTATAAAGCATTGTAATTAGCGAGGTAATATAAGAAATCAATCGTGTGGACTTGATATGAATATCCAATGAATCATGTATGAAATAAAATTGCATCTTAACAATATGAAAATTTAACATTTTATGCTAACGCTACTTTTAATATGCAAAATATCATGAAGATTTACTTAGTGTAAAGGTTGTAAGTTACTCTTAAGCTATGTAACGAAGCCTTCTAGATAGAAAACGCAACGAGCTCAAGTATGAGAGAACATGAACTTCATCCTTCTTGCACGAGTATAGGTACACTTAGATCAGCTGTGATCAATTAATGAAAGTACCTGATATGAAATATATTTTTCCAAAAGGATAAAATAGCATACAAAACTTGTCATAGTAGTAATCGGTGATAGATATTACGTAAAAGATACATATTTCATTCATTCATTTGGTAATTCTTTCCGTTAAAATAATATCATAAAAAAGTGTGTGAATTGACGTAGTAATATAGCAATGAATAACCAAGTAACCTGATGGTCGAATTAATAAGTACTACAGAAGCGCACGGATATGTGGTGAAAGTGCCGCTTACTCAATGATAAGATTTGTCTTGATCCCTATTGCAGACAAATAAAGTCAGGTAATGTTTGCAACTAGAATCAAGATATTCAATACCTAGTACGAAATTGCTTATGCATTCCTATTTTACCCTTAAAGTAATCAAATATAAAACTGTGATATTTAAAAGGAAAATATGCTACCGGTGCATTGCTAACTCTACTATTATGTTGTATTGTGCAGCTGTGCTCAACTATAGGGCATATTAAATCTTTTCTATATTCATTTTTAATCATTATATCATTAAGTAAATAAATAAAGCTCTAACATTAAAGATGAGCACATTGTAAATGTCATAATCAGACAACTAGGTCAAATTCACGATATACAACTCATAGGGCTCACTGTTCAATTTGTATCCTCTCTAGCAGCTCCATCTTAAGCATTAATGTCAGAGAAAGTAAAATATTACATTTAGCCGGTATACTGTAATCTGGTAAGACTATGGTCGCAACTCTTCAATTGTGTATAACGGTCATTTCAAGGATGCGAAGTTCAATGTCAATCATTAGATATAATGCAATACGGAGATTTTAATTTCACCGTAAATATTTGATTTTTGAGCCACTGCTTCAAGTTTGCTCCTCCTTTGATGTAATTGTGTGACCATCTGAACTTTTATTTACATTGGTATGGATGCGTGCAATGCGTTGATATTGATTTTAAAATATTCATTATGATTATTATTTGCGTAAGTATAGTTTTACCGCCCAAGAGCTGCATTAAAACTAAGGGAAGAACGTTAATATCTTTCTTACATATTATATGTAGTATAACTAATTTCCCGTCGGTATTACTATCATACCATCGATGCCATCAAAGAGTAATATCTACATGTGCATCATTTAGCGCCGCAGCCTGAAAATGGACAATATCAGAAATTTGTAAATAAATTAGTACTATTGAAGTTGATAATATTTGTTAGCTTGAAGAGTCACCTTGACTCTTACGGATATTTTGCAAATGATATTAAGACTATGTTAAAATTAGGTCATTTACTATAGATTTGCGAATATTGCTCAAGGGTAAATGTTTGACTTAAAATGCTATTAAGACAAAAATTTTATATAAATGCATGATAATAAAAAGGGAATTCTAGTGATTTTCAAGAGCTCAACTTTTTTCATTTATTGAGCTATAGATTTTTTAATGATAAGCTTCAATGAATAAAATACTATAAGAAAGACTGGACGTTACAATTAACTAAAATCAAGGATAGTTTTTACATACTTTTGCGATGACAAAATACGAGTTGGCGACAATTTTACAATAGAGTGGCTAAAAGTTTAATTAAATCATGATTAAGCCACAATTTTGATTGATTCTTTCTATCACGAAATAAAATTGAGCGAAGAGTAATCTACAGTACACTAACAACTTGTATTATCCTATGAAATCAATTCCATCAACTATAAAATTCACCACTTGCAATTCATTTATAATGGTGTAGGTATTGGTTATGAAAGAAATAGCCTCAATATTATCTTACTGAGAAATACCATTGCTATTAATAGGATAAGATAAAATTACGTGATATTCCTACATTTCGAAAACAAAGGCAATCGATTCCTTGATTTCTAAATATATTACTGCAAAGATAATTTAATCAAATTAACAATTTCATGTCTATTGCTGACGTAGTTAAATATTAAACAGATTTTCCGTGCATTGTATCAAAAATAATTCAATCGCCATTATGATAACAATTCAATATAGTTAATTTATTATTTTCAAGAATACATATACAATTTACAATTGGAGTAGAGATTTCCTTGGGTATGGCATGTGCCGCCTAAGAAAAGTCAACTGATTTACGTTAACTAAATGCTAGGTTTAACATCTTGTTACATACTAGTAAAGATAGTCCAATACACCTTAAACTTCAATATTATATCTTAGGCCAATATTTAGAGATTATTATTTATTCACATACAGCACGTCTAATAAAATTGGCAAACAATCAGATATCACACTGAAAGTTAGTTTTTTAAAAATTTGTTGCAATATTCTATTCCACTCCAACTATATTATCGTCATGTTAACTGGTAACCATGATCTATCTGTTAGCATTTAGTTTTTCATATTAAAATTGTTATATTTCTACTAGTTATTATGACCCTAAAGTATAAGATCCAGTAGAATTCGTCAATAATTAATTTTACCATAGTAATTTTACACTAAGGAATATTACGAGATATGGAATCTTCCACATCACGTATAGACTTGTAAATATTATTAGGACAGTTTAAAGAACACAAAGCCTGCCGTACGTCATATAATTAAGCATACAGTAATCGACAATAAATTAAGCTGGATGGTGCTACATTTTACGAATCTTAAATTTGATATTTCTGTTCATTGGCCTATTTAGTTATCTGTATTATATCATGCCACAGTTAATGGATCATCTTTTTGTTATGATCTTGCTAGTTTGCTGTTCTGCAAATACTATCTAAAATCTAAAAAAATTAAATGATACAATTGGTTACTCATCTCGTTTAATTTTTTAAATAGAATTTATAATTTGCGACAAATTTTTAATTTTCATCACGTTATTACTAAATTTCTATCGCAATGCACGAATGTAACTATTCGTATCCTAAGTTATTAAGTAATCATTTTGCTATCATACAGAGGTATCCTGATCCATTCCATTTAATATAGTAGACTTGTAAATAGAAAGAGTGAAAATACTTGTAATCTTCAATCTACTGAATTAATGCAAACTTTCCTGTTTTACTTCGATAATTTAGATCTATTAATGGCCACTCTAAAAATATATCCTGAACTGTTAGCATTTCTAAATTAATTACCGTAGCAAAACTCAATTTTAAAGTGTACTAATTACAAAGAGTTTAGCATTAGCTACGACGAAAACGATAGAGTAAAGATTGGCATATCGGTTATTTAGTCTCAGATACTTACCAAGCAAAGCAAAGCATGCCGACAGCATGAATATTAAAAAGCAACAACGTTCATTTCCATGTCTATACCATTATCAAATGGAGATACGGGGTCATCATTAAAATCTAACGGTGAGCTTAATGAGGAATCGTCATCACTGTCACGACTATTGCTAGTCGTAGTCGCGATAGGTGTTGATGATGGCGAATAAGGTTGTGAGCAAAATTCTTTATTAATTTTTTGTTGATAATCGGCTGATGTGCGCTGTAATAATAAATCGGATAGAGATAAAATATAATTTTGTGCTAATATTAATGTTTCAATCTTGGATAATTTTCTATCCGCAGGATAGTGGGGGACAACTTTACGCAGTTCTTCATATGCATCGTTCAAGTTATGCATTCGATTGCGCTCTCGTTCGTTAGCTCTTGTTCGGCGTACAGTTGAGATTGCATTTTTCTTCTTCTTCTTGCTATGATTCCTATCTTGTCTTGTTTCGCTATCTTTGTCATATCGTTTCCTTTTCATAGCAGAAGTAGTTGAGACTACTTTTTTCTTTAACGACTTGATATCAAGAGGTTTATTTAAGGGTAGCCAATTTTGCAGTGATGGTGGATGTTGACTGGCATAGAAAGGACTGTCTAGAGTTAGTGGACTTTCCAATCGGCCAAATTCGTCGCCACAACTTGCAATATCATCCAATAAATTCAAGAGATCTTGATTTTCGAATTCGTCCTCAAAACTAGAGACCTCAGACATGATTCTTGCTGAATATTAAAGGTGAGGGAGTGAACTACTATTCGTACTAAATATGGTAATCAACCAATGTCAAAGTAATAAGAATAAGAGAGGAGCCTACTTCAAAGTAAACTATAGGATAGAAACTAAAAATTCAGTATTTTAAATTCTAAGACGTAGTGGTGCAAACTAACATCGAAGTTTAAAATAGTGTGTCAAGTTAACTGATACGTAGTGAAGTAATAATAAAGTTAAAGGCGCAAAATACTAGCTACCCTTAGTTGCTGCTAGAACTAACAACTTGTCGGCCCCCGTTGAAATAAAATAAATCTTTAGCGTCCAACTAGAACTAATTTATACCTACACGTTCCTCATTTTAAAACAACGATTCAAAGTTAAAAGTAGGCAACACTTGTGACCAATCGCTTGTATTGAGATGAAAATAGAATCTTGAAACTCCTCCCAAACGTGCGCGAATTTTATTAATCCATATGGTCGATATGCGAGCTTATTCAAATTTATTGTGTGATCATATTACCGCATTATTGTATAGATGCTGTATTTATCAATTAAGCAATCTAAATATATTCTCTATTTAGATCGATTCAATTAATATCCAATGCTTTGACATTTCTATAAGTCATGTTTAGACATTGCATTTCAATGGTGGAAGCAGTATAGCAATATGAAGTCATTTTTTGCCCATGTTATTATAAAAACAATAAATTAGATCAACAGGTATCGGAAATAAAATTCTACAAATAGTAACTGAACTATAGCCTATAATAGGTACAAGTTATTGACAGTATAGAAATTACGAAGTGTTAATAGCTTTCCTATACAACCTACCGAAATTAATAGAATAATTCTTTCTTATAAATTGCTGTCTTTCTTTAAGATTCTTATTCGTTAAAATTAGTATAAAATCGATCAACGATGCCATACTCAATCCACTTCCGAGCTGTTTTTGTTGACCTTGGCATTAGTTGTATTTAATTCATAATAAATTCTACATTAAAATATACAGCATCTACCTTTCAGTCAATATCATAGCATAATTATCATCTTCTATTAGATACACTTTAAAGAAATCAATAGCGAATAGATAGAATCCAGTAGTGATGAATTATCATTTTCGATCATATAATATACTAGGAAATAGCAACCGCCCCCACACAATCCGATTAAACTCTAGCATAAGATCAAAGAAAAAGATGACCCAGGGTGGTGATGGACTTGTGTACTAAAATTTAAAGTAATGAATGACGCTGCCGTAATAATAATATATTATAATAATAATAATAACAATAATGGCCATAATAATACGTGAACGAGGATAAATACGTGCTACATGATTCAGACAATATTAAACTAAGTTGTTTTATTTTTTTACAGGATCTTTTATGTCATTGTCTATCCACCTTGAACTACAATCTTGCAATATTTGACCTATCTCCATCCTATTCTAGCTAGATACATAATCATCAATTCAATTGTTAGTATTATACTAGCTTGGAATGTGGGATGGCTAGAAGAGAAAACAATACAGTGGAAGGTCAGTGTAAATCATCTAGTATCGATAATTCAATAAAAAATATTTTTTCCTATTGGTAACTTTTAATATGGCCAAAGTACATATTATAATCTACTTTTAGTAAAATTAACACCCTAAAAATTTCGTTCATTTAATCCAAAATTGTCGATATTAATTAATACTTTAGGCATTGTTAACTACAGCTGACAGCTCAGGCTGGAATAAAGCCTAGGTGTCGATTATTTTACGTAGAATTTTATATTATCTTGCATGCCAAGTTATATAAATTTACTTTCCTATAATAAATATCGATCGATGTATATAATTTTTTATAGGAATTGGTGATCTGTTGATGTTATGTTAATCTCAACTATTGTCATTCAGAATACAGAATCAATATCTACAAGCCAATGACTAAGGCTTTCTCATAAACATTTGCTATTATTATTGATAAACAGAATTGCAGTGTAAATCGATGGTCACAACTATGGGGACAAACAACAGTTTCAATCCTAAAGTGTACAGTACTTCTTACTAAATAATTTGTTACGCATTTTCTCATAGTTGCCACTCTGAGTAGATAAATATTATAGTGTGACTTCATAGTCATTTTAAACAGGTTTAAAGCCCGAATGTATATTCAGAAAAATGTTTTGATCAATATTTTTCCGTAGTTATCACTCTGAACGGATACACTGAATATCGCACTAAATATTAATGACCATTTTTAGGATACGGCAAAGCACTAAGAAATAAACATATTCCAACATTGTGCAGATAGTAGCAATTGATATAGGTTAAATTATGTAATTCGGCATAGAAATAGTGGTAACAATGGAAAAATATCTAACAAAATAGTTTACAAAATATACATTTTCAGATTTGAAACTGCTGTTTACTTGTATAAATTTGAAAATTAATTTATAAATAGGTGCACATCGGAACTGTTTAGAATGGTAACTACGGAAAATATTCAACAAAATGTTTTACAATATATGTATTTTCAGACTTAAAATTGTTGATTGCTTGTATACGAGTATATTAACTATTAATTTATAGATCGACTCGTATCGTATCATTTTAGAATAGTAACCATAGGAAAATATGCAGCAAATTAATTTATTACTGAAGATAGGATTCCGACTTAAAATAATTGAAAATCATTATTGCCTACATAAAAAGACTATTAGCCTATCGTGTATATCAGTTTGGATGTAACTATAGTAAAATAATCGACAAATTAATTTTTGGATATACGATGCTACTCAAAGTTGAATCTGTTGACCTGTGATGCATACTAAAGCCGTTAATTTCATAATAAATATAGATTTAGAGTAGTAACGATGAGAAAGTATCCTACAAATTAATTTGCTAGATATGTAATTCTGAGTTAAAATAGTTATTTACCGGTGTAAAGTAACCATAAAATTGACTGCACAAATCAGTTTAGCGTGATTGCTGTTAGAAAATGTCTAATAAATTGTTTTGGAGAATTTACAGTTCAATCTTGAAATCATTGTTTACTCACGACGTATGTGTACTGAGCAAAGCATCTAGAGCTAATTCAATACCTTAGTCTATTAAGATGTTATTGCTGATATGAAATGAGATAACTGCATATTTCTAAGATATGCAATCGATTTAGTCCTTTAAATCTAAAGAGTGCCGTCTTAATAATGTTGATACTGTTCAAACTAGCAAATCATCCGTTGCATTCCAATAACAAGCTGAAATTTGAACAGCCATGCGCTTATTCAGTTTTTTTCCATGATGCTGTATTCCACAAAAACACATACATATATTACAGTTTGACTATCGTTATGATACATAGCATATAATATGTTGCATCTATCGCCTTAAATTTAAATTTTCATTGACGTATTATTACGTATTTTTTCATACGTTTAATGTTACGTAATGAAACTATTTCTTATAAAATTAAACAATGAATATAATCGTAGGCTATGGCACCGATAAGTTTCCTGTAAATTTATTAATTATATAACAATATATAATGAAGAACTGAGTTATGTGGTGGGCACTGTAGAAATTTCTCTAATCGGAGAGATATTATAATAATCTTTGTCTTACATACCAATACTTGGCAATATCTGTAGATTCATTGGATAAGATGTAACGTTCTGTACCCTAAGTAAACTCCTATTACTATCAGTCTCGACTAATTTTAGTTCATTACACAGTAACTATAATCTTTGGGATAGCAAAATCAAGTGTTGTCTGATGTATTTACAGTAGTCAAAATCAACGGATATTTTTATTGATTAATATTTTAAGGGTAGTTTGGCTATAACTCTATGGAACATGTAAATTTTTTTCCGGATCTTAATATAACAATTATACTTGTATAGAACTTTCAACTAGAAAAATGATTAGAAAGTAGATGTAACGAATTAAATTAATTACGTTAATATCCTGATAGCCATTTGAAAAATATAATCTTAGATAAAAGGAAAAAGCACTTCTTTTTTGCGTAAAAGGGCCTGTTTTTTGTTTACTGCTTCTCTACTTGTCTTGACAATGACTTTAAGCTAGCTTTCATGGTAATTAACATATCTACCTGATTATTTGTAATCATATTACGTAAGATTTATTTATAATTTTCTCAATTATGAGTTCTGTAAAATAAAATCCTGGTTTGAGGACAGTTCAATATTCTTGTTTAAGAATGAATAATTTATATTTATAACTAATATTCAAGTACGGCTGTGTTTTGTTTATCTATTTTAGTGACTAGAATGATTTAGCTAACATTATAGTATATCCATTTGAAATTATAATCTTTGATTAGAAAACAAAATGCAAAATGCTAGTACTTAAAATGTATAGAAATTCTTTTTCTAAAGCATTCATAAACTAATATTTAAGAATGGTTATACTTCGTTCATCTATTTCGATGACTAGATTGATTTCGTTATTGCTATGCTAACCATTTGAAAATTATAATCTTCGATTAGGAAACAAAACGGCAATATTCAGTATAAAGAGGTTCTTTTTTTGTTAGCTGATTTCCTATTTGTCTTAATGATAATTACTCTATATTGGTATTCATGACAATTAGCATATATATCGGACGTTTTGTAATCATACCACGCAGGACTTGCTGTTTCCACTTTTTAGTAATAAGTTCTATAAAAGATAAGATGGTCTGACTAGAGATAAATTACTTTATCGTATTTATGCCTGGCTAAGTAACAGTCGTGATAAACACTCAGGAATTATTGTATTTTTTATTACTGAAAGTACATCAGATTTATTCTTTCTATTCCATTAATTGTTAACCTAATGCACAAGCAACCTACGCTATTTGCCTACCATACGTCCATAACTAAAGTTCCTTCAACTGCAAGAAGTTATCTCATGTTTTTAATGAAAAGTTTAAATCAATTGTATTAGATAAGTTAGCTAACCCTATAATGGAATAGCATTAGTTTTAACTCCCATTATACTTTTCAGTACTGTTACTACT